TTTTTTTTTTTTTTAATTCCATAAGCTTCTCTTGATTTTTCATTTTGTTGAGTATATCCCACTGTGTTTCTAGTGGGTACAGATGATAATGGCCTTATTTTGCCCCTCTGTTTGAATGACAACTTGGTCAAGCATATGATTCTGAATTTAAAATAAGTTCCACAGACCCTTTTAAAATATAGTAGCTCCACTGTGATCTAATATTCCATTTCAAATCAGAACTCTAATCAGAAGGCTGACTTCTATTCCTGTTTAAGTGCACATACATTTTCTTTGGAAGTTTATGAGATTATACACTCAGGCACTGCATTAGTCAGCTTTTCATTGCTGCTACCAAAATATCTAACACACACAACTTGGAGAAAGGTTTATTTTGGCTCTCAGTTTCAGAGTTCAGCCTGTGGCTCTGACTCCAAGGCAGAAAAAACATGGGGTACTCTGCAAAGGAAAACTGCTCATGTCCTGCAGCTGGGAAGCAGAGAGAGCAGGAAGAAAGACAGAGAGGAGGGACCAGGACAAGATACACCCTTCCAGGTCACACTCCAGTGACCCATCTTTTCCAGTCAGGCCCCACCTCCTAATAGCACATTCAGCCCCCTCATGACCCATACAATCACCCTTCCAAAAGCCCCTTCTTGAACACATGAGCCTGTTGAGGGACATTTCTGATACAAAGCCTAACACCCAGGAAGTTAATGAACTTCACCAGATGATCTAAATGTGTCTCTCAATATTCTCGTAAGACTCTCAATGTATTTATTCCATTCATAGACTCAGAATTTTGCTGGGGAAAGAGTCCTTGTTTTCTTTTTTGGTACCCAGGATCAAACTCAGGACCTTGCACTTGTGAGCTAAATCCCCAGCCCAAGTCTTTGATTATTTTTTTCAGTATATGGGATTGAACTCAGGACCTTGTGCTTGCCAGGCAGGTGTGGTACCACTGAGTTACATCCCTGGCCGTTTTCTTGATACAGTATTTTGACTGTGTCCATTCTATGGGAAGTAGAAATGAGAAATCTGACATTTACTATGAGTTGATATGGAAGGAGAGTTGGAAATAGGAGCACAACTAACACATCTTTCCACAACCCTGAAAAGTCACCCTTCCTGAGCGTCCCCACTGCACAGAGGAAGAAAGAGCCCAGAAAAAGAAGGGCTGATCTCCATTTGCCAGCAATTTGTGTCCTGACTGACACATATGACTGCTGGCTCAAGTGAGGGGGTTTGGCCTGGTACTCTTATCTCTGCAGTTATTTCTTCTCTCCTAATTAATTCCTGGGCCTCCTAGCAGATGTACATTGGCTCTTCTGGATCTATTCTGCATGTCATGGTTATTCTTTCCTGCTTTCTAGGTTTTAAAATTCAAGAACTGGTTGCTTTTTTTCATGGCAGCTTACAAGAAGAGTTCATTAGGCAGTTTACTAAATTTGAGGTATTAGTATTTATCTTAAGGTTTTTCTTCTGTTTCTTACATTATTTCCATTGTTTCAGGGCTTAGTTCTTTTATCTGTTCAGTTTGGCCTTCTCTTTAACACTACTAATTTTCCACAAATGCTTAATGATTTCTGTTCTTTGTTCACATTATAAATGTATTAATATTTCCAGGCACGTGGAAATCATTGTAAAGAAATTCCTATTTGTAACTTACCCTGTGATTCACTTTTACATTTGTACTCAGCACCTGTGTGGCATGACAACAGCAATGTGAGCTGCTCCTCTTGAACTCTTAGGATTCTTCAGTCCGTTTTTAGTTACATCCTTTAATGTTTCGTTTCCCCTAACAACCACTACTTTGTTCCCCCTAACAACCACTAAACGGAGAAACATAGAGCCAGATCACAAGCAACTCAAAAAAGACTTGTCTAACACAGCTAGAGGAGTAATGACAGTCTGAGACAAGACTGTCACAGATGCGCAACGGGAGGGATAAATAATAATATGGTGAATCACCAAAGTCTTGAAATCATAATAAAATGTTTTTTACCAACCTTTTATATTACACTGGTTAAGTGTATTCCTTTTTAAAAATATATTCCTTTTTTTGTGTGTGCTGGGGATAGAACTCAGGACCTTGTACCTGCAAGACAGGCAGCAGCACCACTGAGTTAAAGCCCAGGCCCCTCTATTCCATTTTTTGTTAGCTTAAATGTAATTCTGTACTCAGTCTAAGACGCAGTCATGCTACATCTGACCACTGTACTCACATGCTCACCAAACACTGACAAGAATGTTCACAACATTCTTAATATGCAAAATACATAATACACAAACACTAGGAACATAAGTGCCTATCAGCAGAAAAGCCCTCATACATTACACAATGGAATATTACACAATAAAAAGCAAGAACTAATAAAAATACTGTAACACGTATAAATGACACTGATCACCAAACATGATGGGGGAGTTCCACAAGCAGCGTGCCAGGCACACAATATAATTGCTCTAATAGGAGGCTTACAGAGCCGGGGATGTAGCTCAGTGGTGCAGTGCCTGCCTGACAAGCCAGAGGCCCTGAGTTGGATTCCTGGTGCAAAAACGAAAAACAAAAACCCACAGCACTTACAGCTGAAGGCAGACTGGGTGGAGCGGAGGATGATGTGAGAGTGTGGTCGAGGCTCTCAGGAGTCCGCCAGGCTAATTGCGCTGCACAGTTGAGGTTCACGCACGTGCCGACTTCGCCTATTTTACGCCTCCGTAAAGTCCGCAAACTAATTGCCAAGCTGCCTAGCTGCTTGCAGGCCGTGCCTGCCCGGGCCCAGACACGACCTCCGCCCTTGCGCTGCGGGTCGCGGGCTCTGCTGCACACAGCGGCGAGGTCGCGCGCGGGCTGGGGGTTCAGTGTCACCGTCACGGGGACCGAGGGAACGCCGCGCTGCCCGTCACAGTCAATGACTGCGGGCCTGGGCTCAGGCGGAGAGAATCCGCTGCCTCGGAGCCCCGCCACAAGCGACCCCGAGTCCGAGCCGGCTCAAGTGAGG